AAACATAGCTTCGTCTTATCAACATTCCAATAAATAAACAAATTCATCATATCAATTACATCGTATAGGTTAGGGAAGGAAGCGTTGAAAGATCTTGATGGCATTTTCGTTATCCCAACTATGTTCTGAGATGAGGTTGGAGGTCTTGCATTAACTTAATGAATATTTTAGACATTTAGACTAAAAAATATGCAGCAGGAAATCGGAGTTAAAAAAGAAGAAAACATGAAATACATTTTTTGAAAGATATTTATTTCTTGAATTGTTCGTACATGTTACCTACAAATGAAAAGTTGTGATTAGGAAAAATATTACAAATTATGTAAACCATTCTCTGAAAGCCATGATTCGGAACATACGAAATGATAACAATACAAATACCTTTCTCTCCTGGAGGTAAATCTTTTAGACAAAGACAACAGAGGTTCCTGAAGGTTTTAAAGACTACATACATCGTGTATAAACTATATACCTTGTGTCCCTGGTCCGGACAGGAACTGTTCAAACAAACCTCCACGTGAACCTACAATAACATAGTATTGTACTATCCTATTTCACACGGACACATGGCAAAATTATATTTACTAATCAGTGTGAAAAATGTAGCATTAGCTGTGAAGATACCATGGATATTATACTGTAAACTACAATCAGGAATTTAGATCATAACGAACATTAAAACATCAGTTTTCTTGACGATTTTAATTAATGACTAGATTTCTTGTTAATGGTCTAACTTATAAAGTAATATTTTCATGAACTGTATGATACTGCCAAAAAGGACAATCTGTTACCGACAGTAAAATATTACAGAAGTTGGTGGTAGGGGGGTGGGGGTGTTATTAATTAAACTGTCACTAACCATTCCTAAAATTTTTGGTTGGTATCCTCTTGGTATGACCGCTACTATGTTCTTCCTCGCTTGACTATGACTATTATTTAAAGGAAGTCGTGTATGTGACAACCAATGGAATAAGAAAATCTATGTCTATGCATGATTTCGGGGAGGGTTTTTTTCACATGTTTTATGAAACGCAGGAGAATGAACAGCTAACAATACTTGCCAATGGAAAGCTTTACTTGCAAAATCCTCACTATATATATTTCACGAACAAGTTCGATATTTTTACAGCTATGGAGTTGTACGGCATGGTTAATAGATTATCCACACAATTTTCATGATATTGAATTGCTTACCGTGTTGACAAGATCGTATGACCATGTTGCTTGTGGTCGGGATTCTTTCACACTTACAATATACTATAAGGCTCTCGTATGTCCGTTTTGTTTAAAAAAAGGAAAATTTTAACTCTATTGCGGATGCCATTGCTGTCACTATTATACACATACAGATCGCTAGCTCATGATACAGTAACTTTACAATAACATGTAATATAGTGAAATGTTTCATACCTATAACATCACTAGTTCTACCTAAATCGCAAAACAATCAACTACACAGTACCACAAAATCAGAGAGATTAAGGGCATGGGTATCCTCAACCTTTATCACCGTTTCGAATTAATTTCATTATGTGTGTTTCTTTTCATTTAAGGTATGAAAATATCTTTAAAAACACAAAATTAGATTACTTCTATACATATATATAATCATATATCGTTATTATTTTATCTGTTTTCTTTAATGTCAATGTCACATAACTTAAGACATAGTTATATTATACGCAAAATAATTAATTACAGATATTACAAAAGCAAAAACACACGCAGTTCTGCAGAATAGGCAACTTCTACCACTAGGTAACACAACAGGGGATCTAAGGTAAAATACAACTACACAAGTTATCTCCCTTTTCGTGAAGCCTAGTCAGACACCATATGCATCACATTTTACTTGTGATACTTAATTGCGCAAACTACTCTACAGTATGCATGCATTCGTTACCTAAAACCTCAGGACTTATACCCACTTGGTGTAAAATTTGTTAATTGTAAGCTAAACACTTCTGTCAATCATTGGATCGATTTCACTGATGTTGCTTACTTTGAATTAGTAAAAATTGAAAATGAATAAAAAAAAAATGTCGAAATGACATGACAGTGTTTTTATGCAGTTTTTTGGAAGTATAGAAGGGATTTTTTTATATAATCGAAAGAAATGAAAACAACAAATATTTTTTCTCTTTATATGTATCTGTCATATCAAAGTCTAATAGTATTTTTCGGGGGGGGGGGGGGGGGGGGCGGGGGGGGATTAGGTAGTATTACAAATTTTAATAGACGATGATGACACAATGTTGAAAATACCTCGTTTCGCCTCTATTGATCTCGCGAAACCAACCATCGCAGATCATTTTCACCTTCGCTTCGCTATAGGGAACGCTTTATCATCAAGACTAAATATTTAAAACATTTTTGATTACCTATGATTGTTAAAGTTATACACTTCAGAACATGTGGATGTTGTTCACTAATCGTGATATGTATATAATTTATTTTTTATAAATCCTACTTTTATTTATTGAGAATCAATTCAAGCATCATTGAGAGTTAATCTTCTATGAAACAAGAATTATCATTGGCCAGTTTTTATGTAATCACCTCACAACGTGGAAGGATCGTCGTCGATTTGTAACGTCACAGTTGATTGGTCAGTTCGATTACAAATGTCAAAAGTATTACAATCTATGATTAAATTATTATGATTAACTTAAGTTATTTTTTATACTTTTGATCAAAACCAATAAATACGGAGTAAACTCTTGGAATAAACCTCTTTTTGTGTTGTGGCCCAATGACATGAACAGTAATTGATTTCATCTCTTTACGACAGTCTGCGTATGATAAACTCTCAGCACAAGTGTGGGTAATACTGTCAGAGTTTTACATATCAAGCTTATGTTGTACCTCTTTGTTTATAGAATGTAATAATGATAAAGATTTGAATCGATATGTGTGAAGAAAACAGAGGTAGACTTTTGTACATTAAGACAGGACGTCCCCTTTCAATATAGTATCTTATGATAAGCTCATTACACGTAATCTTAACGATAAGTCATTAATGAATATTCGGTAATACGACATACACGTATATCTTTCAAATTCAATATGTGCACCATATGCAAAGAAATTAATTTCATTTTCGATTATACATGAACACTGTAAGCATTTACTAGTAAAACGAGGCCAGTGCCAAATCCAAGTGGGTTGGAATCGTTGCATATTTAATGTGGTACTTTATTTATAAGGAAATATTTTACATTTGCTGCAGCAGACCCTTTCTAAAGTGACATCTACTTCACTGTACGAGCTGTGGTGAATATTCCTGACATGGATGCTCTTGTTAACGTTAATTTATTCTGAAGTATCTTTCAATGAGAATCAAATCTGTCATTCTCGAATACCAGAACAATCGTTACAGTAAAAAATCGTGATAAAACTTTGTACTGGAAGAAGAAAACTCGCACCAACTTAGCCCCGAGAACATACACACCATTATGGATTTTTGATAATATCTGTACCCGTTTTTAAAAGCTTTAAAAGATGAAATTTTGTTTTTCTTCTATCAAGTCAAAAACTGTCATTATGGAGTTATTATAAACATATTTTTCTGACGCCATGTTGATTTTTACAGCGTGGCAATGTGATGGATTTCTGTAGGAATATGTTCGTTGTTGTGCTGAGGGTAACGTGGACGTATCGCCTGTAGACACCTCCAGCATCTTGAGATCATTTCAATACATAATGACAGATTCCATTGTCACTGCATTGAAATGATCTTTTCATGAAACAGCTTGTATGTTTCAAAACACCGGCTGTTCATTAAATATCAGAAATAGTACCAATTACTGATGAGTACTTTGATGTATACTTTTGTATATGTAAACACCATTTATAGGATACCAATACTCGATATTTACACGATGATACTTGTAGAACAGCAGGATACGGTTTACATTAGAAAGATAAGGTACATTTATTTTCAACCGTCTGTTATTCTAGTGGAAGGTAGCATCATCAGCTTGACATGAAATATACTGTACACCTCCTTACGTTATCACATAACTCACAGTAGTTCATTGTAATGTTAAGGCGAATCAGTTGGAATAATCCGCCGGTAAACTTGGTATGTTCTAAATAACATGCAATATTGAAAACGAATTGAATGTGATACTTTAAAATTATAAAAAAAAAAATATTTAAAAAATTGAAGTGTGTTATAATACTTAATAACATGTATACACCAATAACACTATGTGTAACCGACTGTTATAATGGACGTTCAATAATCAAGTTTAATATGTCAGGTTTTCACTGAATTATTTTACTGAATGGCAGGTCTGACGGAACCCCTAAAATAAGCTGAGAGAATATCAACTGGACATGTGTTTCAGAAGTCCATTCAAGTTCAACTAGTTCCACTTTTGCCGCTGCAAATGTCTACAATAATTACAAACTTATATTTCATTAATAAACATCTCATTGAAATCTGTGCTTTCATAACATACAACAACGGCATCATAATTTCTTGGTTTTAACGGGTTCAAATCACCTTGATGTTTCATCAACTAATATGCCAGTCACCCTGATGATAACAGTACAACATTTCCCGTGACATGATTACAAGTCGATATTTGACTAACCCAGTTACAAGTCTTCTTTCAAATATCTATTATTGTCTGTTTGAAATCTTACGTCATGGCTAAAATTGGCTGATCTAAATACTATTTTATTAAAATAGATGTTGTTACAGGTACAGCAGTATACGTTATAGAGTTAAATATATGTTATAATTCATATATTACAAAAATAAAAGATGAAGATTTTTAGATTTTATGGTATTATATGAATTATTTGGTCAATAACACCGGCGGAAAGGTTTATCTCTTAATCACTAACACAATCGTGTTACAATCTGTATAGCTTGTCGTCAAAAATTGCATACGAACCTCTAAAATGAACACTCGGGATGTACGACATAGCACTGAAAATCGCCTAATAGCCTATATATATGTACATGTAACTAATGTACGAAAGCACTAGCAGTGCAATAGCAAACTGACTACAATGACGTTTAAACGTTGCATGGAAGATGGGATGGGATGATCTAAAATAATAGAAACAGTAATAATAGTATTTTATAAATTACATCTTGGAAACAGAAAGGTTATTCAGTACTGTAAAAACAAACGCTTTTAGTTGAAAAAGAAATAGAAACTTTCAGAACAAAATAGAACACTACTGTCTCGCAAATCAAGATCAAAATCATCTTGAAAAAAGTACTGATGTGCATTAAGATGAGGTAGTGCTACTTAACATACAATATTATAAGGATGAACGTAGGTTCACAGTCAGATGTTGGGTAGTAGTAATTTCCTACATCAATCTTTACTACGTTACATGCTGCCTACATTGGTTTAACTGTTGACATACCTGCTGGTTGATTCGGTCGATTCGGGTTTTCCATGAAGTTATGAACTGTTGTACTCATCGGATCAACCTGATTGGGTGTAGATTGAAATGGGAAATTTTGGATTGTATTAGCATTAGAACCTACTGTTCCAAAGGAGATACCATTCTGACTAGCGGCCCCTGATTCTAGACCTGGGTTAGAAGCAGCACTCGTCCCACCGCTGCCACCAAGAAATTGAGCACCAGACGGTAGTGCAGAAGCAGCAGCTGGGGAGCTATTGTCACTATTGGCGAGCCTTCGGATTGCTTGCATTATTTCTGCTCTTGATACCTGACGATCACTTCGCCATAATTCTCGTCCGTTATGATCAGTTATCGTAGTGACCATGTCACTCTCTCCTTGTGGATTATTACCTGAGCCTGCCGTAGAAGAGGTCCCTGTGTTTGTCCCAGCCAATCCATTTAAACCCGTGCCAAACTGGTTCTGGCCAGGTGTCCCTCCTAATGGAAACTGTAAGTTGCCGCTAGGTTGACTAGAACTCCCAACTGTTTGTTGAGGGTTTAAACCGCTATTTACCGGAAATGACGGGTTTTGGGGAAACGACGGATTCTGAGGAAATGGACCAGGAGGAACATTTGGACCTCCTTGATTATTAGCATTATTCTGGATACCAGGACCACTTTGTGGTTGCATCCCCGGAAATGGTGGTTGAAACTGATTCGGGTTGAATGCTGCTTGATTTTGCCCTCCTTGTGGCTGCTGGAAACCTAATTGTGGATTGTTTCCTGGTTGCATGGAACCACCAGGAGACATTCCTTGCATAGGATTGTTTCCTTGTGGGTTGCCCATAAAATTTGGAAATCCAGGCATTATATTATTGCCTTGATTATTAGCTCCTGGCATTCCAGTCATACCATTCATCCCTGGCATACCATTCATCCCTGGCATACCATTCATTCCTGGCATTCCATTCATAGCTCCTCCTTGCATACCGTTATTCATTGCTCCTTGCATGCCATTGTTTCCCGGCATGTTGTTCATCCCACCCGGCGGCATATTGTTCATACCACCCGGCGGCATATTGTTCATCCCAACTGGCATATTGTTCATCCCACCGGGCATATTGTTCATTCCACCTGGCATACCATTGGGACCTCCTTGCATACTATTCATTCCAGGTGGCATACCATTCATTCCTCTAAAAATACCATTATTTCCATTATTTCCACCTTGCAAATTGTTCGTTGGCATGCCATTCATTCCACCACCTGGCATGATATTATTTCCTTGACCGCCATTCATTCCCTGAAAACCTGGCCTTCCATTCATACCCGGCATCCCATTCATTCCAGGCATTCCTCCAGGCATTCCGGACATTCCTGGCATTCTCGACATACCAGGCATGCTATTTGGTCCTGCATTTGCATTCATTTGCGGCATTCCTGACATTCCATTTCCACCGGGCATGTTATTTGGTCCTACAGTTCCAGACATTCCGTTTCCCTGTTGATTGAACGGGTTTCCAAATGAATTGGGTTGTGATCCCATCCAGGGTGGAGGAAATTGACCTTGGGAGTTCGGATTTTGTGATCCAGTATTAGTATTTCCACCTCCAAACTGTGGAAATCCATTATTTGAGTTTCCAGGCATGATACCTGGTGGCATCTGTCCAGGTTGCATTCCAGGCATATTTCCACCTTGATTTTGTGCTGGCGTCATTTGATTGCCTTGTTGATTCATTTGAGTGATGTCAGGTATTCCTGGGAATGGCATTTGCGGTCCAAATGGCATGCCATTCGGGGCCATCATTCCATTTTGAGAGTTCATACGATTCGGTGGCATCATCCCATTTGGTGGCATCATACCATTTGGTGGCATCATACCATTTGGAGGCATCATGTTTCCGAATCCACCAGGTTGATTATTTGTCTGTCCACCCTGTTGGGGATTATTGTTATTAGTATTAGGTGCCGAGCCGGACCCCCCAAAGGACGACGGAGCTTCAGTATCTGGTTGTGGAGACAGCTGTCTTAACAATTCATTTCCCCACGCGAGTCCGAATCGATCCGAGAAGTTGGGCATAGTGCTTAGATCAAGTGCTCCACCGAATGATGCTTGACCAGATTGCATGTTCCCGCCAGGTGGAGGTCCGCCTCCGAATGGCAACATATTACCCTGGTTCTCTGGTGAAAATGGCTGGTTACTAAACATTCTTGCCCTGCTTCGTAAATTATCGGCCATATTGGCAGGAAGGACTCTGAAAGTTCCCATTTGATTGGATCCCATTTGTGGATTCCATGGTCTCCCTCCGCCGCCATTTGGAGGACCTGGCATACCATTCCCGCCACCACCCATTTGAAAATTTGACACAGGACCCGGTGACTGGCTAAATGGCATCACAGGAAATTGATTTTGAAACCGAAGCACTCTTGGATCCCAGGCATTTGGTCCGTTACCAAATGGATTCCCTTGTGGTATGAAGTTTGTTTGAGGCGGTTGAGCTGTAAATAAAAACATTAGGAAGTCATACTAGAATTATATGAAATTAATGTAGAAAGAAAACCTGTTTTGATATATGTTTCAAAATTTATCTTATCGCTAATGATAGAACTCTGATTTTGTAAAAGAACCTAGAATTTACAAAATTCGCGAATGCCCAATGTACCTAAGCCATCAATTCATCTTGTCATATGTTTCATTGTCTATAAATTACAGAAATTTTAATATCAGTAATCATATCACGACTTTCACAGGTTCACAGTAATAGATATAAAGGTTAGAATGGATAGCGCATGATAAAGTATGGAATCCGTGCTCGAACGGGAACATCATTGCATCATCTATCGAACAGTGATGATAGTTAATAGCACATCCATTAGATATTATATTAGATACTTTATAAAGGTGATATCTAGATTCACACAGACTCACATCATCTCTATCATCATTTACAGACACCAACATAACACCAATGTGTAACATAACGTTTTAATCAGATCTTCTAGTGGAATAATACAGACATATTCTTAGTTTCAATGTGTTTTATAATCACCAAATTATTTTATGTCAATAAAGCATTTTAAATGCAAGGATTTATCAATAAAATAATATTAACATACTTGTGTTTTTAATGTTTTTAATGCTGACTTTGTAATTGATATCAGGATATGATCAACCAATCATATGTGGTAAAAATGGATTTTATGGAACGGGTCACGTCAAGGAATTTTCAGGAATTGTATTATGAAGAAGAACAGACAACGCACACTGCACTTTAATTGTTTTTTCTCTTTCCCGATTTATTTCGGGCTTCTTGAATCGATAACAAAATTATTCCTTGATAACACACACAATCGACTACTCCGTGTACTTTTGGACTGCATGTCATTCAAAATGGCCAAAATATTTTCATATTTTAATCAGAACACTGTTCATGATGACGTCATTATAATTTACTGTCTGACTTGATTGACAATTACATTTGACCTTTCAGCTTCATTTACACACGATGTGATTTCATACAAGTGTATCTGCCAAAAAGGCTTTATCATTGAGATCCACTACACGATTCCGTAATACCTTTCTAACATTTGTATTGTTGCTGTACAGATAGATAATGTTAGTACGATAATATTCAATACGGTTCAATACGGTGTTATAATCAAGGTTGTGTGCTTAAGGTTCAATACGGTGTTATAATCAATGTAATGTGCTAAAGGTTCAATACTATGTTATAATCAATGTTGTGTGCTCAAGGTTCAATATTGTGTTATAATCAATGCTGTGTGCTCAAGGTTCAATACTGTGTTATAATCGATGTTGTGTGCTAAAGGTTCAATACTGTGCTATAATCAATGCTGTGTGCTAAATATTCAATACTATGTTATAATCAATGCCGTGTGTTAAAGGTTCAATACTGCGCTATAATCGATGTTGTGTGCTAAAGGTTCAATACTGTGCTATAATCAATGCTGTGTGCTAAATATTCAATACTATGTTATAATCAATGCCGTGTGTTAAAGGTTCAATACTGTGTTATAATCAATGCCGTGTGTTAAAGGTTCAATACGGTGTTATAATCAATGTCGTGTGCTAAAGGTTCAATACTGTGTTATAATCAATGCCGTGTGCTAAAGGTTCAATACTTTGTTATAATCAATGCCGTGTGCTAAAGGTTCAATACTGTGTTATAATCAATGCTGTGTGCTAAAGGTTCAATACTGTGCTCTAATCAATGCTGTGTGATAAATGCTCTAGTACTATGAATAGTCTATATTTCAATTAACGATTTCTCTGAAACTTGAATATATGAAACAATTTGTGTGATATTTCTGCCAGTTGGTTGGGATTTCGGAACAGCTTTTTTCATTCTTGTCGGATAACAGCTCGAAATGATAGAATAGCACGTAGGGCACTAGATTCAAACATGCGTCATAGTTTTGTCTAGCGTAGCGCCATAACCATCAAAGACCTTGCTAATATTTCCCAAACGTTTTAGGGCTGCATATTATTATCTATTTTGATAACATTTTAATATTTGCTCTTCCTTTAAAAAAGCAATGAAAAATAATAATAATGGTTTGCAGTTTTGTATCATGTATGCTTAACTCGTATTGTTTGTAGACTCTTCTACATCAGCTGCTTATCTCGATCTTTTCCTAAAACGAAATCGAGATGGACAATTTTTCTCCAAAATGTATGACAAGTATGACGATTTCAATTTCCTTGTATATTTCCATTTTAGGAAATAGCAGAATCCCTGCATTCCAAACCTATGGTGTTTACATGTCCAAGTTGATTCAATATTCAAAGGCCTGTTCAAATAATCACGATTTTCGTGGAAGAAGTCGTCAACAGATGGACAAATTCATTACACTGGGTTTCAAATGATGCAGGCTGATCAAAACCAGGGAGCAATTTTACGGTCGTCATAGTGATATTGATGAGAAATATCTTATAGCCTGTTTTCATTTAACTTAACTTCATGGACTGACCAAGATTTACATGGTTTGTCGTCAATGAAGAAGATGCTTACTCTTCCAAAACGCCTGGTCTTATTTACATACTACTTTACAGTAGTCTTCGTGTAAATCATTCTGTTGGGCATTATTTGTCTAGTGTTATTGAGAATGAGTGTGGATTATGATTGTATTTATATGTTGGTACTTTCGTGTTGTTTGTTACGTTGTTCTGTTCAGACTGAAGAAGATTCGCTACAGTAATTTACGTGAAATTGTATCCTCCATGAAAATATGTTCTGTGATATTGCGTTTTCATATTGTTCAATGAAGCATAATGACGTCCATCAGGGGAAGCTCGCCCTATCGTTTACGGTGTATCGTGTGGTGTTGTCAGTAGGAGGAAGCTGTGACAGACAGTTTACGAGCAGACAATAAAAACTAATGAGCTTATCATTACATATGATTTCAGTACACTACCTTTGAACTTTAAGATGTAAGTATATAAGGAGATGTCACGGAGTGTCATCTGGATGTCACCATTTTACAATGGAGGAAATTAAATTGCTGTCAAATGCATAATGAAAGGACTTTTTTCTATGCGATATTTAGAAAGAGTGTCTATGAGTGTGTGTTTTAATCATAATGAATAATTTTGTTGTAAAAAACACAGATGACGAATTGTGAAATTTTTATTTTTCATATTTCGGCAAATCTTTAATAGTAAGAAGCCAATAAGTGTGTAAATAGTAGGACTTAACGTTAATCACCTTTGTTTTTGTTATGTAGTTTGATTTGTTTTATTTTAGTATGTGAGATACGTAGGAACTATGTTGGCTACTTTACTCAGTATTCAGTATTTTAACCTCTTGTGAATCTCTTTTCTTAATTTTACATTTTAAATAACCATCCCAATAGTTTATCTGAATGCCTTCATTAGTCAGGAAATGTTCTCAAAAGTGTTTTTTTAAATAAAGTCAAACACTGTATGAAAATGAATACTGGATTTGGAGGCGAAATAATGCAAACAATATTTATTACAAGAGTGTCGATTTTTCATTCAAGTGCTGCGTAAGGACAAAGGAAACATTTTACAGATGTGTAAACGATGGTTATGTATGGATGGCGGTATCTGATCTATTAGAGATCTCTATCCTGTTTTAGCTATCATTATTTCTCTTCCTATCCATTATATACGTATATATAACAATAGTAGTTTAAATAATGTCATGTTTGATATACAAGAAACGAATTAATGAAATAATTTTGAAATTAATAAAATATTTGTGTTTCTTTCATTATCAATATGTAAACCAAAATAACCATTAACTGTCGTTTCTCATATAAACCGTAAAGGAACTTGGAGGAAACGGATTGTTGTCTTCCTAAAATGTGTTTAAAATTGAAATATTCCAAAAGGTTTCAAAATTCATGATCATGAAATCAGAGGCTTGCTTCTAGACTGTTACTTATATTAATAGTTGTAAGCTGTTTGTTTTTTGACACTGTCTCGAAAGCAAATGATGGCGTCATATTTCATTATTCATGGGATGTCAACGGTTTTATTTTTATCTGTAGTCCTCTCATATGAAAAACAAGCATTGGGTGTAAGGAAGGGAACATTTGTGATCATATTGTCGCTGTATAACATTTGTTTGAGGTAATTCTGTCAGTAAATCACGTTTGTTTGAGGTGATTTAGTCACTATATCACATTTTGTGATAAATTTGTTAATGTAACATAAGTTATTGACAACTCCGGTCAGTATATCACAATTGTTTGCGGTAATTCTGTCTAAATCACATTATGTGTGGTTATTCTGTCAATATATCACATTTTTGTGGTTAATCTGTCTAAATCACATTATGTGTGGTTATTCTGTCAATATATCACATTTTTGTGGTTATTCTGTCAATACATCACATTTTTATGGTAATTCTGTCAATATATAACATTTTCTGTGGTGATTCTGTCCATTTATCACATTTATTTCTGTTAATTTTGTCACAATGTCAATTTTTAGCGCTAATTCTATTACTATATCACATTTGTTTACGATCATTCTGTCCTTTTTTAAATGAAAAAAAAACATGTGATGATAGTGTTTATGTGTTAGTTTTGTGTTTGACGACACCGCCGCATTATAAAAGTCTTCAAAAATATCATGGACAGAACAGAAGAAATCATAGTGGGCAGCTGTTTGGATTTCTGCCAATATATTTGCAGTAATTTACCGTAGATTAAATAAACATAGCTGAAAACATATACCTGAATATGAGTGTTGTTGTCGCTATGGAAGAGAAAATATGAATTCATGGAATATCAAAGCAAAGGAAGACATTTTGAACCCCAGTAAAGGTGAAATCAGGCGTCCCAAAAGAGCAAGCGCGTTTTGTTTTGTGTTATATCTGTACAATAATTTATTGAAAGGCACGTTTAACATAAGTTTGGGGCCTTTGTATTTCTTACCTTTTATTCGTTATCTCTCCATAGCATTGTTGGTAGTAATGTATACAATGACAAAAAATCATATTCGTAGATAC